CTGCAGTCGTAATGTGCACGGTGTGGATGGGCTACTACTACGGTGGGTTCGATTGGCGGAATCCGGCTCTGGTCTTCAATTATCATCCCGTCTTCATGGTTATTGGCATGATCTTCTGCTTCGGTGATGGTAAGTACGTCTTCTGGTTCCGTGGCATGACTTCTCTCCACGACCTTGATGTCAGATTTTCTGTTGAAAGCAGGCATTCTCAGCGCCACGTGATCCTGTCTTCCCTCGGATAACAACGAACCCCATTACTACACATGGTTAATTAATACCAAAAGATGGGTATAACGGTAGTCGTAACTATCTTTTCATACTTTCACAGTTATTTGATTTAAAGACTAAAATTAAATGGCACCAGTTGCTCCTCAGATCGCATTCAGACAAGTACAGTTTTCATGTAGGTCGAATTGTATTGCCTCCTCCCACTCGGCAAGCATGTGAACTGCTTTATTTTTGCAACTGAACGAAAAGTCAACCACACGATACAGCGACTGAATTTGGCGAAAAAAGCCATAGCAATCTCTAGGGTTTTGTAGGCAGTACAACTTGTGCTCCTAGGATCACACTTTTCTCAATTCACGTGGAGGCAATAGACAATCTACACACAAAAATATACTCTAAATTTTCCAGGTGTGAAAATATAAAGAAAAAGGTAAAGGAACGCGTGGGATGCTCGTTACTACTTACTAAGTGGACAATCTGTGCTAAAACGCAAAACAAGACCATCAGTACAAAAAAAGGTTTGAGGAGTTGTAATAAGCCAGGCTGACATAAAAAGACCGGTTCATTGTTAAAAAAGGCTTGAGAAGTTGACTATAGGCAAGGTGGATGGAGGTACGCAAGTCGTGGGGACTGAGGAGCCAATGTGCATTGAATCATGCATCGCATCGCAGATAGGACTAAATTAGGTGTCTATTCTAGGGCATCACTTTGTGAGAAGGTACCTTTTTACCCTCCTAAGATCCTTCACAGCATACGAATTTTAAGTTATGGGGGTCATTACTGTTTGGCTAACCTTTTTTCGTCAATATGAGTACAGAAGTCAAAGTTTATTCAAACGCATTAGCTCTGCATTTATTTGATTGTCGGAAGTCTATTCTAGTAAAACTTGACCTTTTCAACACTTACTATTGGTTGTGACCTTTCGAGAGGAGATTGTTTCTTAGTCATGTTGGCATTGCTGTCACAGTGGCCCAACCTTTAGAGACCAGACAAACTTAAATTTTTCAGTTTACCGCGTCTTTAAACAGCGAAAGGCGGATTCCCTTTTTCTCCTCGCTTCTACATTTCACCATTTATCCTGCCTTTTATGCGCCATATGGAAACTTGCTGTTCCTAAGACGACCGACTTCAAGGTCGTCAACGGTACTCTGATTTCTAGGAAGTAGGAATACTTCTACATGATTGGTTTGATACATAGAGGATTTGGGAGGTTAAACATCGGTTATCCTGGATGAGGCGTTCCACGTGCTGAATTAAGGGAGCATAGGAGTGACTGTTGTGCTGTGAAGGGGACATGAATTGCCACGGTTAGGATCACCTCTGATGCACAACTGACCCTGTCAAAAACTTTATCGCGGTAGAGCTTACCATTGGCTTAAATTGTCCGTAGTTTTTGCGTCTTCCCTTACGCCGTTCTTTGTATTCACTACCACTGTTGCCTGTCGGCCACTAGTGATAGGATCCACTTGGCACTTGACCACTATAACATCATCAAGTTCCGTTTTAAGTTGAGTACGAAAGCGGGTCTTTTTCTCCCTTTTTCAGCTATGCTGATCTATCGCGTTTTTCATAAGTGCCCCAAGTTGCCTTTGAAGGCTGTCCACGGTGTTTTGATGATACTCGGCCTGCTGTTTTCCGTGGTTGGCTTCAAGGCTGCTTTCGATTCTCACAATATGCGCGGCATACCCGATGTATACAGCATTCACAGCTGGATTGGACTAGTCACTGTCGTCCTCTTTGCCGTGCAGGTAAGGCATACAAGCGAATGAATTAAATCAAAACAATTGTTGTATGGATGTATGCCAGTGGTATGCTTTATTGAGATGATGATGATGACGTCATGTAGAGCCGATAAAATGGCCCTCAGGGCAGCCCACCTGTGGGCCGTTTTGATTACTGAAACAAATCAAGTGTTTACAGAACCCGACTAGCGGTGAATGCTGAGCTTGATTAAACAACCTTCGTACTATCCAAAAAAAAAACAAGAAAACCAAAGTATTTGCATTCAAGTGACATCGCGCAATGCTTGGCCATTACCCACTGTCCTATCCGTCTCAGACCGAAAATCGGCTGAATAGAACGGTGGAGGAATTGATGGGGTAATCAAATAAGCTGACTTACTAAAATAATGCGTATGGATTCAAATTTTTTAGAAAAAAAATGAATGTAAAGGAAAAACAAAACACTGTTCATAGTCTGTTACTCTTCCAATGTAACTACATGACTGTCTAATACGAATACCTGGGGAAATATCCTCAGAGGCATGCGAGTGAGAAGGCCGGTTTTCCCCTTCTTCCCATCAAAAGTTGAAATTTTTTTTCAAAAAGGATGGCAAATTTTGAGAGAAATGAGGTAGTGGATTGCCTTAGAAGAATGAGAACAGATTGTTCCTCCAACTGCTTCACTAATCCACGTCCCTCACTACTTTTTTCGTACCTTTGCGTTTTGTCGCACCGAGGAGGTAACCATTTCTCAACCGTAATTGTTTGTTCTTCACCAGGTGGGCAGTAGTTCTTCTTACCCCTGCACAAAGCAAGTAAAGTCTTGTAAGAAAAAAGAGTGGAGTGGGTGACTGCTAGGTTGTACCAACTTAACATATCCATTCACCAAACATGAGGAAGCACAAGTCAAAGCCCGTCACCCAGTTAGCAACCAATTAAACGCAAAAGCTGACAGTTTTTGCAACTATTTACTATTTGCTTACCTTCTACAACATTCCCTTACATGGTGATACATGAAAATGTGTATTTGACACATTACTCGCTGATTCTTCCATGCCAGGTAGCACTTTAGAATGGATGGCCCTCCTGGTTGTGATGTGTATGCAATCGGTAGGGTTGTGGGACGTTGGAATGTGCTACCGCACCTCCACCACATGCCATACAGCTAATGTGCAGCCAAAGTATACACAAATCGTGAGCCAGATAGGCGTAAATCATGTCAAATAGAAAAAGTCATTACACTGGCCTGTGCTATCACTTTTAGGCTTTTACTTTGATACCCTCTTGCCATTCCACGTATCGATCATGCAAAATTGCATTTAAACTGTTTGCTTCACCTGTTCTACATCTTATCCCCCCCTCCCCCCTCCAAGAGGGTGCTCCATTTGGTAAGGTCAACTAAAATTTGTGCTTTCCCCCTTCTAACGTACAATGAAGATAATTAAAACAGAGAAAAAGTATGAAAGCTTGCCTGAAGGTGTTCACGCTCCCGTCTAGCTTAGGAGTTATCTCTAAAAACGCTATTAAGCCCACCAGTTGGCGGGATTTCTTGTACCTTTGACGGTTGTTTGCTCTTCTGCTTCAGTCACTACAAAGTTGGAAACTAAGGCGACACGATGGGCTGGCATGATGGGTGGATACTATCAGTGCTAGAGGTTTTTTGCAAGGCTAATCGTATCGAAGGCTGGATGATGCCCTGCATCAAAGGCATTCCGTATGACAATCGTCCCTCTCAGTATAATCTACCTAAAAGCAATATTTGGAAGGAGATATTGTATTTTTAAAAGTAAGCAATTCAATAAGGTCACTTTCGGATTAGTAAATTGAAAAATTGACCGTTTTGCGGAAGTTAGAACTGGATTCAAGGATAACGATAGTGGTAGAGGTGAAATGTTCTAATCGAACAAGTCGAAACGCCATCACAGGGTACTAGATAGGTCTACTTCATCAAATAGACAATTCGGACAATTGCCAGCCTCTTATTGCCTACATATTGAACTGTTTCAGTGGGTGGTGGGGTTGATAGCCTTCCTGGTGCCATACATCCCACCGAGAGTACGGTCGAAAATTCTGCCTCTGCACACAGCTACGGGTCTCTTTCTCCTCTGTTGTGCCCTCGTCGCCGCCATCTCGGGAATCACGGAGAAGAACTTTGGTTCAACGTAAGTAATAACGTCTCTAATGAAGGAGACAGGTAGAGACGCTGTTTAGATGAACTGACAAGCCCTGACTGCCAAAAAATATTCCATCGAGATTTGTTTAATTTAAACAGATGAGTGTAGTAAAAAAAGGGATCCGATTTATACGGTAGAAAGGTGACAGGTGAGTTATTTTTAGCCATCATCTGATGTCTAGATGTACTCTAAAGTTGTGAAGATACCCAATGGCGTCTATCCGATGCTTCTAAAATGGCATTGCGCCTGACAGCTGTCTCCATTACTTTAGCACCTCTCTACCATCAAGGTGTTGATAATTTAGGTGTGTACTTTTAGGAGAGAAATAAATGATTCGCGCTTTTTTAATGACCAAGCCTTTTTTGGCCTTTTTTTTCAAAAAACAAATTCGCTTTAGCCTTGCTCATCTAGGCTTGGTGATCCAAAAGTCATCATGACCGTAGATTTTTCCTTTTTTAAAGAAGACTTAGTCGGTAAAAAGTCGTTAAACAGGATCCTAGTGAATAGCCACCTAGTAATTTTCAATCCGGTCCGAAATGAGTGACAATTTCAGCGATGGTGCAAGGTGATAAAGACAACTTTAGTGACAACAATCTTCTACAAGGAAAAAATTCTCTACTCTCTCACATCAGTGAAAATGAAGTAGTAAAAACGGTTTCTTGCATCCGACTTACCGAGGAGGAGATGCGCTATTTACACGATGATTTGCCTTGTAGTCGTTCAGAGCCCCACACTATCTGGGACGAGTTTCCTTTGGAGCTAACGTAAGCCTGAATGTTGTGCCTTTGAATTCACTGTTGTGTAGCTTGAGGCACTTTGAGTCATTCCCGAAGTGATAGCTCTATTACTAGCATTGAGAGGGGCCCGAAGGCTACAGAAATAAATGCAAGGTTACGGCACCAAGATTGCAATTCGTTGAAGCCTGACCTCGGTTTGTTAATTGCCACTGGATGGAACCCGGAATTGGGGGCTTGCCAAGAGCTTGCAATGAGTAACCGAAGACTCGGCAGTCTACAGCAGATATTGTTCCTCCGTGACGTCGGGTTTGGCGAGCAATCAAATATTGTCCATTTGAGCCGCCTCCATCGTGCTTATTAGCATGGCGAAAGGTTGGGAGGCCATAAGGCGTACGTACGTAAGCCCATAACATCGAGACGCAGAAAGGAATCGCGGCGATCAAGAAGCTTTCGTAGGTAGATACGCATTTGAAATAAATATCACCTTTCCACGAAGAGGTATGGAAGGTTTAAAAGCAGCTAGCTGTAGAATCTTTACCGAAAACCCTAGCTTGGTGTGTTTGAAAGCGGATGTACGTTCGTTTCTTGTAGCTACAAAGATTTGCCAGCGCCAGCGATGCTCTCGAATTTTATGGGTGTTTGTCTAGTCGTTTTCTGTGGAATGGTCTTCTATTTGGTGCACAGACATGACTATCGCCGTATAGAGCCCACCAATGGAGAACAGGTAGGCTTTCGGAGCTTGAACTGATCACAACGTACCTGCGCGTTCCCTCATCTAGAGTGTCGTCTCAAAATCCCCTCCTTTCATCTTGTCCTTACCTTCTGCCGATCCATCCATATGTCATATTATCGTGCGACTGTTTTCGGCTATTCTTTTTTCCTCTGTACGCTTCAGAATCCACGATGCTAACTGCTTCCTGCTCATTGTTTAGTGAGTGGAAGGATGGGGTGTCAGGTCAAACGGGGCTATCCAATTTTACGTGGTCTAGGTGGCAGTAAATGTCATGTGATAAGACATCTCCACCCGTTTCAAGGATGGCCATTCGTCCGTCAATGTCGATTTACTGCCTATGGCCTCAGTAGCAATCCCTGAGGAAGTTTACCAAGCCCATGAAATGTCAGGTACTAGGTGGGTGACGTGGCCTGTCATGAAATTTTGTAAGAGGAATCCTTCTGCAAGAACGGTAGCAGCCATTTGACAGGTGGGGAGGGGGGGTGGGCATTCAGAACCCTTGTATTGGTAATAATTACGACCCCAAAAGGCTTCCCCATTTTGAGATTCCTGGGATTTTTATTCCAGGAATTTGGACTACCTTTTTCTCACTTACCACTCCCAACATTGGTACTCTACTCTCCCCCTACTTTCCACATTGGGTCGTGGGGATGTACTTTGTGCGTGCCACTTCTCCATTTCCCCTTAGAGTCATTTGAAAAGGCAAAAGCACGAGGGCTGGGGCATTCCGAAGCCACAAATTGCATCCTCCGATGCGTTCGAAACTGAGACAAACGTAGGTAGTTTATACCATTTCTGGATAGCATCACTACATGTAACGTAAGTAGAATCCCCAAAAAAGCCCCTCAAAGGTCAGCAGTTGGCTGATAGAACAAAAGCGTTTCTTTTGGTGCTAGTCAAACATTGGAAGGATTGCAGAACCGTGGCAGAGGACTATGAAGAAAAGTACGCACAGGCCCCACTCCTTAAGGCTTTTAAATGCAAAATCCCGGTTCGCCTTAGACGCTTTTCGTGCATAGTACCACTCGATCCAAGCACCTGACATTTTAGCGACATAGGCAAGGATACAAATTTCTTGAATAAGCTAGCAGGACCCTAAAACAATTCCTTCTAATCCTAAACACCAAATGCATCGTAAAGGCCTAAAAAGGTTCGTACTGAGAATAAAGCATTGGAATATTCCGTGAGCGCCTTATTTGTGGATTAGAATGGTGAAAATTAAACCAAATTTGTCCTATGCGGAGGATGAGGCAAGATCACATTTAAATAAAGTAAAAGTGAATGTGAAATTAGTATTCAATACGACAATTTGATGAGCTTTCCGAATAGGATCGAATCGGGCAGGAAAATGAAGAGTAGTGCAGTTTGAGAGCAAAAAAAGTATCCAAATACGGAAGTAGCGTTTTGCAACAAAAGATACTAAGAGCGGAATTGGATTTTATGAGGTCTCTACATTCACAACAACAAGTTTGACTCCTATGTAACCAGGTATCGCTTATCTGGCGTTTGTATAGTCAAAAGATAACTACTACTCGCTATTCAGTCCAGGTATGTGGAAAAAGAGTTATCCTACTTGGGAATATAAAGCACTCTAATGTAGCAATAGCATGAACAAGTATAAATTAAATTACGTGACTTCTCCACCTCCGTTCCAAGTGGGCTTTACGTTCCTGCCCATCACGCAACTGTACCTGGTGTTTGGACACACTCGTAGATCAAGAGGTAACCACGATTACATGCGAATTTCACCGTGACCGAAGTTGGAGACGTCCAAACAGCGATTGAAGCCAATCGTGCGCAGGAGCGGTGATCCCAGTCACCCTGATGAACAGCTGGGTACCACTCCAAACCACGCATCTGTAAGATCCGTCTACTGCATGTCTGCTTTGCCAACTGGATCCAAGTCGGCTGCAGAATTCCTCATTTCATGAGAGATGGATTGCATTCAGGAAGATTCTCTACTCTCCATGGCCATGAAGGTTTAAGTGTCAAGTAATGATGAAACAATTCGGCTAGATCAATTTGGAGGAGGAAGTTGCAGAGGCCAAGCAAGTGGATGCCACCCAGAACCATTAACAGCTGAAAATATGCGCTAGAAATCATCAGGGTGCCATTATTCACCTCTATGTGCGTTATAAAACGCCCGTATATTTCAGATTATTTGCATATTTGTGTTTAAAAACGACTAAACACTAAGCAAACGAACATCTCAGTGATTTTAGCGAAACGACCCACTCACCGCCCAACCCACACTTCTGCGTTTCCTTTCACAAGACTGTGTCTCCTTTTTACGCGTGTGTACGTGACGGATTGCAGACGCGATTGTTCATTAAGATCTATTCACTTGCCGAAGGTCAAATATTTGACACTGAGATGCAAAAAAACGATTTTTTCGGAAGTGACCAAGGCGTGGAAGGATGAGTTAGCCCACCTAATGTTTCATAGTCGCAAATTTACCTGCGGGAGGACTTGAAAATTAAGACGGAGCAAAGGGGGACACCACCTATGCCTCCATATTTCCCTAATGGCATCCCTGCGGAACCCAAGGGATCATCATCCCTTCCTCGGATTAGGACAGCATACCAAACACAACATACGAAGAAAAATAAAAGTTAGGTAAAATCAGAGGTGGTCGGCACCAATTCTCCTTGACCTCTAGAGGCAGAACCACTCAAAAATTTCAAGAGAGGATAGTACATAGCAATGGTGACTATTTCAACATGCCATAGGCAGCTTCCCGCATTTATTTGGCTTTTGTAAATCAGCACAAGAAATAATTTGGTTGCATTATAAGGGGTAGCTTAAACGAGCAAATAAGGCCGAAAATAAAAAACCGTAATGCCACAAGCAGAATAGTTCGAGTGATTTCAAGCACAGTTCCTTCCTTATTCAGTGCCCATAGGCTAGGATAATTTAGGACGAAATGAAGATGAGCTAACGTTACTATAGAAAATCCACCACCTTATACCACCAAGCAACTTCCGAAATAGGACACCGATATTTTGGGGAGAGAGGGAGTCCTGGAGACGTTAGGGAACAAAAAATAGCATCACCTTGCCTGCGCACTTAAATCACTTAACGCCACAGACAAAATAACCAGACTAGTACTTAACGCTAGAAGGATATTATGAGTACAAATGAACAAATTTTGAGTTTGGGGCAATAGAAAGGAATATGCCCACGGTCTAGCCCGGAAAGTGAACAATGAAAAATTCGAATAAAGTACGAAAGTCAACGAAGTGATGCCAATAAAACCCAAATCCATAAGTAAATACGTTTACCCAATAGCACAAATAAAACGCGTACATCACGGTGACAGCAATTCCTGAATGAAAGAATTTCAAACCTGAAAAGTTTACAGACGCATTACTGAGTAGTAGTTCCAATCATCGTGGCCAAACCGCTTTGAACAACTCGGAGGCCTGACTCCCACTCCTTAAGCAAACGACAGAGGCTCTGCCACTGCGGCGCACCGAAGTTGCGTGGCAGAGCGCCCGTAATGAGTATGCGCTTGTTGATCTGATCCAGCTTGCAGGTAATCACTCGTTGACGAACGGCTGTGCAAAAAATGGAACACATAACGAGAAATTAGGCGCCTATAACATTGGCGTCAGTTAAAATAACATGGAAAATCGCCAAGTCACATTAGACACGGACAAAAATAAGTAAACTACACGGCTACTAACTATCGAATAAAACATTCAGGTGCGTGTGGTGCAGGAATAAACAATATTTAATCGGCGTACCAGCTAAGGAAGGTACGTACCTTCGATGATAAACGCTTCAAGTTGATCCTCGGGCAGATCAATTTTTTTGCAGACAGTGGCGTAATCCAACTCAGCGGCATTCTCAGCTATTTTCATTAGACTGAGGGTTCGCAATTTGTCAAGGCAAGCCTTTTCATTAAGCCCATTTTCAGCCAAAAATGTTGGGTTTTTTTTCATGAAAGCTGCAAAATCCCCGAGCCCACCAGAAACATAGATCTCCAGAAGCTGGAAAAAGTTACACAGATACAAAGCTTGCCTTGTGCACTGGTTCGCCTTCGAGAAACTGAACGGGTTTAAGAGACATGAGGCGATTGTGTGAGAGGAAACTGGGATCTTGAATGACAGCAAGAATACATCTATTTCGGGGTTAAAAGGTGAAAAAGGACGGTTACTTGAGAGCATCATCACGAGCGCCTGCTGCGTTCCCCTCGGAATAAGTTGAGAGCAAGTTAATCATTGCCTGAGTTGCGAGTTTTGTGTTGCTACTCGCCTGATGCACCTCCGACATTCGTCGCCAAAGGGATTGGCATTCAGCAGGAGAACATTTGCAAACCTTCAAGAGCATCGCAACCTATGTCGGTTAATTAACCGATTTACTTAAAAACCTTTTCTGTTTGTGTATAAATTTGGGACAGAGCCCCAAGTTCAGAAGCACAGGTTACGAGAGCACGATAAACACGGTACCTTGAATGGTGGTCTTCGGGTAACCCAGTGAATAGAACATTTAATCTAGACACATACAAGAAAACTGGTCGTACATACGAGTAGAGTTTCGCAAAGTGTTTCCGATTTTTCGGTTCAGAGAAGTCTTCGTAAAGTTCGCATAGCTTATTGACAGCTTCGTCGATATAATTATCGGGCAATCCAATTACGAGAGAAGAAATGGTAGTCAACAAATCAATCGCTTCTATGCAGAACGAAGATTAGTGAAACTATATCGTGTACCAGATTCCGAGACTTTATCACTCCTAAAACAAACACGAAGCTGAGGAATGTGACTAATGAAAGCAGAAGGCCAATTTTCTTGGGTGACTTCAGAATTATCGACATTCTCCACACCCACCTTTACTAGGAAGTTTCTAAGTTCAACTATCTAAAGACCCCTTAAATGAGAAATTGGGTGAAGGCTACCTGAGTAGATTCAGAACAGCGTATAAACGTGGGCGGCGCCATGGGGGTATTATCATGCAGGCTAGCAGGCTCCAGAATCATGCAGCATTGCGATTCGTTGATGGGTCTTAGTAATTTGTAATAATATGATTGTAGTTGGGTTGGTCACGTTAGTATCTATTGAATCGTCAGAAAGTGCTAAGCATAAAGCACAAGAAATTTGTCCGGCAACGACTGCTGACCGATAATAAACCATAGAAGCGACACAAATACTTTCGCGGCATAAGTAGAGGTAATTAGAAAAAGTGGTCTCTTAATAACCCAAGTACAAAAAATACGTGATTGCTTAACTCCTGGTTATCACAAAGTTTTCACTATGGGTCTCCACCTTTGTACCTTCGCAGATTAGGCTGGCCTCCAGACAAGCCCAACAGGCCCTGGCTGCACGACATATTTAAAAGGTGTTCTTCCCGAGTGTTATATCTTGTTTTGCCTTTACGAAAGTCTTAGGACACTACGTACATGTACTTTAGCGTACTTTATATAAACAACAAAAAGAAATTGAAATGAGACGGAACTTTGGCACCAGGATGCAGAAAACCATATCATAATGCCATACCTTGGTTGTTTAACCCAAAGTTTTTATGAAAAACCACTTTTTGCCTTGGCCACTGTACCATGCCAGGTGAGCTAGCAGCCCAGCCATGCCATTAACCCTGATACTTGTATGCCAAATATATATATATATTACTGAAGGCCTGTGTTCTTTTTATCTACAGGAAAGTCTCTAGGCAATATAATGCATTTAAAGTCACCCCAAGATGTAGTTAGTGTTTTTTCTTCGGTCTACATATTGCAGTGATTAAACCGGCGAAACCATGAAAAAAGAATCGTGAATTTCTTGCTCAATTGAGGTATCCTATTATAGTTAAGTTGAATCTGCAGGCAATATGCATCAAAAACCATGTATTTCGGTATTTTCTGCAACTCCTACGCTTTTATTTAGCCAAGTAATCTCACAATTAAAGTCGAGATAGTGTTTAGTAAGTTATCGAAGTGAACATCATATTCTTACTTGTGTGGCAATGCTTTTATCACTCATGCTTTGTTCTTAGGCTCAGCTAGCCAAGTTTTTGGTCTTCTTTTTATTTTTAATGTTATAAACACAGTGCTGCACCTTGTTCTTTGACGCCTTTTTGAATGTTGCAATGAGACGAATTACAAGGCGGCATGTTCCTGTCTTACACAGTGATTTGAATGTATTCACCTTCTAGCCAGACGCCGATTGGAATTTTGCAAGAGACTGCTACAAAAAGGGGCTTCCTTGTCCATTATGAACTAGTTGCAAGTGAAGGAGAAGCACATGAACCGATTTATGTTTACCAATGCAGAGTTGGCAAAATTACTGCCTTCGGGAAGGGTACATCATCCTTCTTGTGTTTGTTTAGATTTGTTTATCTATCGTTTTAATGTGTTTTTGCAGCTGACTGAGTAATTTTCTGTTTGCTACCCTTGGATTGTTGGGTTCTGACTTAGGTGTATTTTTAATTTTTACGTTCTAAGAATTTGCCCACAATTTTTCATGAGACAGTGTTTTCGTATTCGCATACGATAGCTTGCTTTTGTGCTCATTTTTTTTCAGGTGCAAGCAAGAAGAAGGCGAAGCACCTGGCAGCATATTATGTTCTTTTAAGGCTGATCGGTGACGATCCCCCGGCTCAGGGTGATAGAGCGCTCTTGCAGTCGATGCGTGCATCCCTATCCTTTCTCGGTATCGATGTCGGTGACTCTTTAGCCGCGACTTGTGAGGATGAGGTGAACGCAGCAGCTACGCGAGCTCCTATCAATTATGTCAGCAAGGTTCAGGAATATTGTGACAAAAATCTCTGGCCTCCGCCCACTTATGAGTTCAGCGAGTGCTCACAAAGTCTTTTTGGAGGCAGGTATCAGTGCAAAGTTCGTCTCTGGCGATGGGAATTTTTGGGGTTCGGTAGCTCCAAGAAAGAGGCTAAAAGAAAAGCTGCGACCGAATTTTTGAAGGAGGTAGTAGAGCAAGGATTGACTATCCCGGCAGACGCATTAGAGGCAATGGAAGAGGAAAATCTACCTCTTGTAGAGAAACAGGATCTTAACAAGCTGAAGGTTAAGCAAAGTAGTCAAGAGATGGCCTCTAGAATGGCCAGGAAAATTCTTTCCGGCGTCCACACAATCAATGGAAAGCTTAAGGAAGTTAATGTTGGGGAGCTCGCTTGTCCCACTTTTGACGTCTACGAGGTCTTAAAACGGACACTGGAAGAGAATAAGCTTGGTGTTTTCTACTCCTATACGACTAATACCAAGTCTGGTGAGACATCTCTAGTGTAATTTGTCCAGCTGATTTCCGGATTCTCTTCTTATCCATATACTACGTAATTTTAGGCGAAATCTACTGCCAGGCACAACTATCCACGATTCCTCCACAAGTGACATGCAGCCGGCCCAGTGCGAGCATAGACGAAGCTCGAAGGGATGCAGCCTACCGCTGCCTAGTTTACCTGGACACGATGACGAAGCTGAACCCCACGCTTCGTGAAGAAGCGTGGTTCCGAAAGCTAGTTTGATTGTCCTCCTATCTTCCGTTTGCCTGTGCATATTATATCTCCGGAATAAAGAAAAATCTGCACTCGTCCGGCAGGAAAGGAGTATGCGATAGAGGCAGGTGTGTATTTATGTACAGCGAATACAATCCAGTGTAAGGCGTTATCTGGCTATCTTGATGTTAGAGCCGGGTTTGTGAGCCATCTTGATAACCTTAGCCATCGCGACTTTCTGATCCTTGTTTTTGATAGACATAGCGGCACGCATCTTCCGCTTGGCCGCTCGGACGCGCATTAATTTCTTGCGATGACGCCGCCTGTCCGTAGAGGTCACTTCGGTAGCTCCCTTGAGTGGTTCTCCACGGGGTTCGAAAATCTCCTCCGGAGCGAGTAGATCACTCTCAGCCATAGCTGTTGGACCTGCTTCTTCCAGTGCCACAGCTTGTTTGTTAGTGAGAATGTTGTAGCCGTCCACGCGCTAGAAATTTTTCGTACGACAAGAAATCACAATAGATTTGATACTTTGGAATAGGTGTATCCAGTGAATCCAGCTCTACGCCAGGCACAGAAACACCGTTCCATAGGGTTTGAGCATTCTCAGACGCTACACGAACTACTGGCACTAAGCCAGTGTGAGGCAGACTCAGATTATAAATAAGGCGAATCTGAGGTGCCAATATCGTCCTTACACAACCGGGTCTTTAAATGGGAATAGCATTCACGTAACGATCTGAGTCTGGGGAGCGGGTGGTGTCCCATATCTTCACACCAGAATCCTAATACGGTGCAAAAACTGTAGTAAGCTACCGCGAAATGTGCTTCTCAGTAATATAAGCTGGTTCTTGCCAAGCCTGATTCAACGGACAGATGTGCTGCCGTCTTCGTTGATAGCTCTGGTTCCCCTTCGCCGCAAGTGGGCTTCAAGATAGTAAAACCGAACAATAATTGCTTCTTCAGAAGAGGAGTTTGTAAAAAAGGTCTAGTACACCAATCGAAATTTCCTCATTAAAGCAAGAACCTAGGGCATTTGTGCATGATGACACAACAAAATTGACTTAATTAACTAAAGTTTCATGAAATGAAAACGACAAACCAAAGACCCGGGAGAGGAATCCGCTAAGAGTTCAGGAAAGAGTACATCATGGAATGCTGTAAATAATGCTATCATAACTACAACAACACCCATCAATAATATTGAGATTCTTTGCAAAATGTCCATTATCAGAGTGCCAGAATTACGCGTCAAACACAAAGCCGTACGCAGAAGCGCAAGACAAAATTGTAGCACTTCGTAACCCCCCGAAAATCCTAATACTAATACTAATGCGTGGAGGAAACGCAATGGGAAAACACCGGAAGCTAACAAAATCTGACTCGCCTTGCGCGGAACAAAGTGCATATTTGACAGAGCATCCAGATTGTCAAATAAATCGACAATTTCACGTCGAAGCGCCTCTTTTTCTGGGTCCTCCTGAGGTTTTTCCAATGCCTAAATACCAGTGTCATTCATAGAGCTAAGCAAACCTTGGCTTTAATGTAAAGGTTTTCATATTCTTCAACAAGTGAAGTTTTGTTGGTGTTGATAAGGTCTTTAGGAGCCGTAACGTGGTCTTTTGGCTTGACTTTGAGGGTTGGACTGTCGAAGGACTAGAGAATCTAAGGAAAGTAATTCACAAACCTGTTCACGAATACCCTTTTTCAAAAATTCAACGATAATATTTTCATCAAAAGGACCAGGTTCTAAAACCGTGTCGAAATAGCAATGGAGGAAGCCATACTGTAAATAGCATGCCTCTGCACTTCGAAGTGTTCTTCCAGTAGAGCGTTTTCTGACCGATCCTTGCCAGAAACTTCACCATGCAAATACCATGGTTTGCTGGAAAGCATTTTTTCCTCAAGAGAATCCATCTCTTTGTCCAACTACCAGGTATCACAGAATTACGAAGCATACCTTTGTCATAAATTTTTCGAATTGCATCTTTAGTGAAAATGTACAAATGTCCAGGCAATTCGTTTGTCGCACCTGGTTAAGTGCAAAAAAAATGAATCATTCCCAGAAATTAGCGCACATGCATACACACGCAGCAATATAGAGTCATATGAAAAGGAAAATAGAACAGAAAGAAAAAAGAAGGGGGAACCACCCAACATCTCACAGGAGGCACACGCTGTCTTGGAGATACCGCCAACTTAATCGTTGATACTTAACCCTACAAAAGAAATTTAGACCAAATAATTAAATCAACTTTTTAAGCGCGGTTTATTAGCCTAAGTGCGATATAGTGCGAGCAAGGTATCTGCTATTTTAGGTTTGGATGTATTTACTCATTAGGACAATGACTGCTTTAATGAAGATATATATTTAATTTAGACTTATTTATATAATTTATAAGAGGAACTTCTTCTGAATGTTGCACAAGTCAGTCGCATTACATGGTCGGGATTTTTCGATACCCCACTCCCACTTAGTGCTTGATAACACTTCAACGTCGCATCAACATCGCATTGCTTGTCAGCGAATACCTTGCCAATTCACCTTCACTATTCATCACTAAATTGGTCTGTACCGCAACATCCCTGTTTTATTTTCGCACATTTCAATGTGGGCCGCAAAAGTTCTTTCGAGCCTCAGAGTGGTGTGCGTGACTCCCATTCAGCACGGACAGCACTCCTTCCCCTTCTTTTACTTTAAAAACCTCCATGTCTGGTCTTAAGTGAAGGTACCATGTTAAGATATTAAGCACGCTACAATGACATAAAATACACCATATTTGAATATTCAAAGAACATAGTCAGATGTTGTAAGGGCACCAAGTAGTTATTGACTGATTGTCCTCTTGACTGTAGTTTTCCACAATTGTAGCAATTACTTCAGCCAAGTCACTAAGCCAATGACGTGTTATTGTTCTGGCGCTCGATCGCCATTGTTCGCAAACTCTAGGCTGCTCCTTCAGATGGTCTGTTGGAACTCGAGAAACTGGATTCCTCTCTTTCAAGGTAAGGCAAATTAGTTGCTTTAGGTTATCTCTAATCAACTCCCAGAATGCTTTGCCAGTTGATTGGAGTGCCGAAATTAAAACAAACTCGTCATTCAACAGGTAATCGAATGTCATGTTGATACAGAGTTAAACAAGTTTTCAAAAATCTAATTTTCTAGGTAATAAATTTTTTAATTAATTAACTGTTGAATAACAACAAGCAAGGCATGATGTACTATCAGTTGACCATCAAACATACCCTTGCATCCTCACGAATGTTCATTTTTTGATTCCATGGGAGAACTTAAACAAAAAACAATGTTTCCTGATACACTTTGAATGCAATATCAGATTTTATAAGAGTTAAACGTAGTGAGTTCTGGCATGCCTGCCAGTGGGCCCGTTCCCATTTGAAGGCGGAGGGTGGAGCACACTTCAAAGGCCTTCAGAAGATGATCCATAACCGCGGAGGAACTATTAATAAATGCAGCAAAGAATATGAGGTGGAAGGTCCATGCTGTTATGCATACACACATAACGTTTAAACCTTCAAAATTGGTGCACTTACTAGGGTCTGTACTGAATTTCAGCAGAACTTGTTGTAACCACCACAGGTGGAATAGTAAGGGTGTCAACTATTTTGAAGAGACGTTAGAGAAGAGCATTTGCATCAGCGGGTTCGATATGACCTTCCACGTACATATCTATGATCTCCTGAAATGCGCAGAATCTTAAGCGATGCCACTTAAAAGCTGACATTTCGGAATTCCGCAGAGAATTTGCTCAGTGTCATCTAAAATCACGATTGGAGAAAAACGTAATCTTATCCCTCTATTTGTCAACTTTAACTTTAGATTGCATTTCTGGACAATGAAAACATGCAACCAAATTGGTTAGGATCGAGGCGAGGATACCTATTATTCAATTAAGTCAGAAAAAGAGTAATAATTTATTCAAGGTGTGGAGTTTACTTGTCTTAAGGTGTTGAGAGAGTGATCCCACGTAGGACTGCCAAATGTTGAAATTAAGCCTTCACTTCGCAGTGCGATAAAAGCATGAACCGATTAATTTGAAAATTTTATCTGTGAAAAATGAGATAAATTTAGAAAGACGAGTGCTTAAGTCGCAAAAATACTTGTCGCAAATATCCCGAGTGTATAAAGTCAATATTTTAGTGAGGTGAAACTACGTTACCCAGACAAAGAGTCCATTTAAAAATTCATTTTTTAAATATGCATCTTACACCGGGATTTTGCTGCTCACAGAGGTCAACTGCTGCCAGAGCATCGACAATGCGTGGCTTTTGTGTATTGGTCCAGTAAATCGATGAGCAGCAATCCTCAACCATCTCTCTGATCATTTCTTTCGTAATTTGACATTGCATCTATTTAGATTTTATAAGTAATAGACAGCTCTTACCTTTGCAACGACTTTTGATCCGCCGTTTAGACGGCTATCGGGCCAAAATGCAATTCCGCATAAGTGAAGTGTTATAGGTGAAACGGAGGGAAGCAGCGGAGGATCTGTGAAGAACTGCCAGGATTCTGAGAATACTCCTTCAAAGGAGGATTGAATGGAAATGTGGAGAGTTTTCGATTCGCCACAAACGATTTCACCTTGGAGGAGAAGTAAGTACAGTTGCAAGATAAAGTGTGCTTGTCTACTTTGTTTATCAAAATTTTTTGGAAAGCAATATCATCCAAAGGGAACAAAATTCGGTGAATAGATCATACACGCTTTTTTAGAAGATCATGTCCAATAAGCAGTTATTCTTGAGTTTATTGAGGGATTTCCGCCATTTTACTTAAAAAATATCCTTATAAGACGCCGCAAATGCCCATCTATGCTGGGAATTTGCAAGGCTACACTATTGTAATACGATAGTGGTTTATCCCTCGGTTCTAGTGAGGCGCCACTTTTGTACTTGGAATTAGTCCCCTTGTACCTCGCTGGGTGGGCTGGCCTTTTGGGCCATGCCAATAGCCCAGACACCTTCTCCGTGCTGAATATATATATTCTGCCCGAGTACTGTGTCTTCTTTTGTCTTAAGGGAGTCTCGGGACGCTACACTATCTCGCATATCACGAACGCCTATTCCTTTGTTCTTAATAAGCTAATATGGCCATGGTATAATTAATTCATCCGAATGCATCAAACAGTGCGATATTTGCGACAGAAAATCTGAGTCCTCTGGTCCGACATGGAATGAGAGAGCAGGTAGTCAGAACTGGTTGAAGTTAATAAATGCTACCGAATAAAAGTTCATTAAAGGATTTACAAACTTTTACAGAAACGATGGTGGACGAACTTTTGGGGTTTAATAACGGGGGAGGTCACGATGATGCAATCCTTTGCCATCTAGAATGTGGGGGTCCACTTGAATATAAAG